TTTTCAAACCTTTAAATCAGGGGTTCATCAATAGAAACTACGCGTGGTCGATACTTTGCGGTATTGTCGTAATAACCTTTAGTGCTCTAACATGTGTTTTTTTTTATAATAAATTACCGTAAATGTCGGCCAAGGAATTCTGCAATGACATGAAGTGAATAGAGTATTTTTTTTATTTCGAACTTATGTCTATTGCTTTACAAACTTTCGCACCACTGCCCATTGACGCTGCAGTTCGGCGTCTTCTACACCAGGACAGCGCTTCCTGTGACGACACAACGACCACTGCCATATTTTGTATTACGCCAATAGCGACAGTATAAGGAGATGATAAACAAAATGGCGCTCCCCAGAAAAAGATTACTTCCGCGGTGCTCTATGCATTAGCATTGTTTTAACGTTTTACTCCAACCTGTGTCACATCATGATATTTGGATATATATTGGTGCCCAGGGAACAGTATTAAATACACATTAACTGGACAAGAAAAACAACCACTGAAGATTGCTTGATATTGGTTATTTGTTTCTACTATTTAACAATAATACTGAGGAGTACTACTGATTAAGTGAACATGACGTTCCCAGCTTCTCACAAGACTGTATTTATTCTGGATCATAGCCCAGAGTTTGCCGAGTCGTGTCGGCAAAATATTGACTTCGACATCTTTACCAAGTCTCGCACAACTGGCGTTATTCCTTTGGCGCCTATAGCTAAGACGTTATGGACATGTACCTGTGAAGCAACTCTTGAATACTGTAGAATTGTAAATGATATATTTCCATATGGAAAATTGGTGAGTAAATTGGTGCGTTTTCCATGTATTAAAAGTAGTTTTTAAGGGGGATCATAAAAAGTTGAGAACAATTTTAAAATACCAAATTCCCTGAGTACTAATACTCCCCAGATCTCAAATGTGTATCCCTTAAACAATAATATAAATCACCTTTATATATAAAAACCACCTCTCCATAGTGACTGACTTTGGGTATGGTTCTAATGCAATTTACATGTGACCAGTGACTGTCCTTTTGGCACCTATGTCTCTTCTGAAAGAAAACTAAAATACAAATTAAAAGTTTCTACATAGGCTGCAAGATATTACTATTTCAGTGGTGAATTAATCCATACATACTAGTTTCTCACTTTGTATTATGTGCATAATTTCATGTTGTCGGAATTGTAGTATCAGTTACTCTGTTAATTCATAGACCACTGTCACTATGTTCACTGGATAATTTTGTTATTAGTACTTTTGAAGTTTTCTTAATTATCATGAGTGTATATATTTTAGTACATGCATACATATATACAATATTCCAGAAGAATTGAAAAGTGATGACCAGATATTTAAATATATTATGAGTTCAAGAGAAGACGTACTAATAAGACAAGTTGGTGAATACTTATACAAAATATTTGAAATCAGAAATAACAATAACTGACATTTTACTTTTACTTTAGTTATATATTATGATGAATTCAAGAGAAGAATTGGAAACCAAAATTGGAAACTCCAAGTGAATATGTCAAAAAGTAAAATTGTAATATTTAAAAGAGGATACTTGAGAAATACTGAAAAATTTACATATCAAGGTCAAAATATTAGTTGTGTATTTTCATACAACTACCTTGGGGTATCATTACAGTCGAATGGTAAATTCAGCGACACAAGAAATAATTTGGCAGACAAAGCCACAAGAGCTTTATATGCAATGATGACTTCTGTGCCAAAAGAAACTGACTGCAAAACAATGTTACACCTATTCAAAACATGTATAAGACCAATACTATTATATGGATCAGATGTATGGGGCTTCGAAATTCAAGAAAATAATAAATGGGACATTACACCAATCGAGAAAACCCATCTGAAATTTAGTAAAAGAATGCTTGGATTGAATAAATTTTCATCAAATCTAGCTTGTAGAGCAGAAATAGGTGAACTACCATTACTAGTAGACATCAAAATAAATCTTATAAAGTATTTGGCACGGATCAAAGAACTTCCAGAATGTAATTTAACAAAACAGGCATACCATGAACAGATAAACTGCAAACTCCCATGGATTATGTCAATTTACAAAGAGTTAAATAAGGAAGATAACACATTAGATATAAAGAATATCAATGACAAATTGAATGCAACAAAACAAAATATAAAGAGAATAGGAAACAATATTAAACAAAAATATAATGAATTCTGGAAGGAGACAATTATGGATAAACCTAAGTTGAGAACATATACTCAATTCAAAACAAACTACAACTTTGAAAGTTACTTAATTATACTGAATCTAAAACATAGAATTTCTGTCTCTAGATTCCGAACAAGTAATCACAGCCTAGCAATAGAAAAGGGTAGACATACCCAACCTAAAATTTCTTTGGAAAACAGGATTTGTAAACAATGTACTTTAGCAGACATAGAAGATGAAATGCATCTCCTCATCAAATGCCCAAAATATCACGCACTGCGAATGGATATATTCTCAAATATA